CATTCGCCCAACACCAGCACCTTCTCCTCTCCTGTTCTCTAGGTCAGAAAAAAAATGGGACATGGTGGTTTTGTACAAATTACCGTGCCCTTAATCTTGTCACCATCAAGGATTGTTTTTCCATTCCCACAGTGGAAGATATGCTGGATGAATTGAACGGAGCAGCTTATTTTACAAAACTAGACCTCATTGCGGGCTACTGTCAAGTCCGAGTGCAGCCATCAGACATCCACAAGATAGCCTTTTGGACACTCAACGGCCACTACGAATATCTGGTAATGCCCTTTGGACTACGTAACGCACCTTCTATATTCAAAACTGTAATGAATTCTATTTTTCGTCCATACTTACGAAAATTTATATTAGTCTTTTTTGACGATATTTTGGTGTATAGCCCCGACTGGGAGACTCATTTATCACATGTCAAGAAAGTTTTTGAAATATTGAGGCAACATCAGTTCTTTATTAAGCAAAAAAAAATGTCTTCGGCAGCCAAGAATTGGAATATCTAGGCTATATTGTGACACCTGAGGGAGTAAAAGTGGATTAAGGAAAAATTCAAGCAATGTTCAATTGGCCAAAACCCCGCAACATCACTGAACTACGGAGATTCTTGGGCCTTACTGGTTATTACTGCAAGTTTGTGCAAAACTGCGGGCTCATAGCCTGGCCCTTGACAAACCTGCTCAAGAAAGGATCCTTTCAATGGGATGAGGGGGCTGAGACAACATTCACAGAACTCAAAAAAGCCATGACCTCCACACCTACTTTGGCACTTCTAGATTTCAATAAGCCATTCACTGTTGAGGTCGACGCCTTTGGGAACGGAATTGGGGCCATGCTCACCCAACATGGCAAGCCTATTGCCTATATGAGTTGAGCCTTAGGCACCTTCAAACTATCATGGTCTACCTATGCCAAGGAAATGTTGGTTGTGGTCGCAGCCGTCCAAAACTGGCGGCCCTACCTCTTGGGACAGAAATTTTTCATCAAGACTGATCAACGAAGCCTTAAGTATTTAATGGATAAAAAAATCACCACTCCAGAACAGCAGAAATGGGTCTCCAAACCATTTGGATACGATTATGAGATATTATACAAGCCAGGAAAAGACAACTTGGCTGCCGACGCACTATCACGACAAACTAACGGGCCTGCACTTGAGGCCCTGCTTACAGCCAACACGTTATTATGAGATCAGATCAGGGAAACAACTAAGAGTAACCCATACATGCAAAAGTTAGAGAAACTTGCCTGAGATCACCCGGGGTGTCCATATATCGAGAAAAATGGCCTAAAATACTACAAACAGCGAATTGTCGTTCCACCTAAGTCCGACATTGTTCAACAATTATTACAAGCCTACCACAACTCCCAAATGGGAGGCCACTCAGGGGTACTCTGCACTTACAAGCGACTGGTTCAACAATTCTTTTGGCCCACCATGCGCCAATCTATTCAAGAATATGTATCCGCTTGGGACGTGTGCCAACGAGTCAAGTCAGAAACATTATCACTAGTAAGATTGCTACAGTCGCTCCCTATCACATATCAAATTTGGGAGGACTTTACAATGGATTTCATCAAAGGGTTGCCACCATCTCAGGGTAAAAATACGATCTTGGTAGTCGTAGATCATCTCAGTAAGTCCACTCATTTTTTGGCTCTCGCACATCCCTATACCGCTAAGGTAGTTGCCGAAAAGTTTGTGGAAGGCATAGTCAAGCTCCACGATATGTCATGATCCATCATAAGTGATCGAGATTCCATCTTCATTCGTCATTTTTGAAAGGAGTTCTTCAAAACGTAGGCACCGAATTAAAAATAAGTTCCGCATATCACCTACAAATCGACGAGTAATCGGAAGTCGTCAATCAATGTGTGGAACAATATTTACGATGCCTCACTCACCAACGACCAAATAGATGACAGCTCCTACCATAGGCAGAATTCTAGTACGACACCACTTACCACTCCTCAATCGGCATGACTCCCTTTCAAGCTCTATATGGACGACCACCACCCACTATACCACACTACATTGAAGGAACAATGGCAGTAAACAAAGTTGATCAGCAGCTCACAACTAGAAACGACCTACTCAATCAACTAAAAGCTAACTTACATGCAACTAATAACAGGATGCAACAAACCGCAAATGCCTCTAGGCGTCATGTAGAGTTCCAAGAAGGCGTGTGGGTCTTTCTCCAGTTACAACCATATAGGCAGCAAACTGTTTTCAAACAAGCACTGCAGAAACTTGCATGTCGTTTCTTTGGCCCATATCAGATTGAGGAAAAAATCAGTCAGGTCGCCTATCGACTCAAGCTCCCTTACACATCCTCCTGCATCCACCCGGTATTCCATGTGTCCCTGCTAAAAAAGAAAATTGGCTAGTCCACCCCTACCATCACCGACCTGCCCCTAACCAATGAAGAAGGCAGTATCATTCTCCACCTAGAGGCAATTTTGGACACCCATTGGATAAAAAAGGGATCCCAATTCGTTAAAGAAAACTTAGTGAAATGGAAGGCCTTGGTCATTGAAGACGCCACCTGGGAAAATGCTAAGGAATTGAGGGACCGATTCATCAACCTCTTCAGGCAGGGAATGATGATAGATCCTGATGCAGTCAAAGAATCCCTGTAAGCAACCCGAAAGATCTGGGTTGTTATACACCCAAATAAAGCAGTTGAAGAAGTAATCTGCAGGACAGTACGCAACCAACAAAACAGACCCATAAGCAGTTTAAGAAGATCCCGTGATCTGCTCCTTCTCTTATCCACTTGCATTTCTGAATTTCTTTATAATTATATGCATCTTTTATGTTAATCCAGTACCTTAAAAGTAGGAAGATATCAATGTAGTAAGTTCTATTTAAAGCACTTCAATTCAGCAATAAAGACATGAACAATTTTCAGAAAAATTTTGGTATTTTCTCACCATAAGCAGAAACTATCTTAAGTTATTTTACAACTTTGATTGGGACCTATCATAAAGTTATAATCTTACATTCGTAGTGCTGGGAAGCTCTGGGTTTCTGTGGGCTGTTGACCATTAAGAAGTCAAAATGTAACTTTTCTAAAAAATTTTTTGCAAAAAATCTTTTGCAACTTTGAAGACTCTCCTTTTATTATTATTATTTTTTTGAGATATAAAGACTCTCCTTTTATTATAATTTTTTTTAACAGTTGGCTGCTGTTGCTGCCTTGTGCGTGCAATATGAAGCTGATTTTCGGCCAAATATGAGCATTGTTGTCAAAGCTCTCCAGCCTCTCTTAAATGCTCGGCCAGGACCGACCAGTGAAACAACAAGTTAGTGACTTTCTCGGCTCTCCATCTGTTTATCTCCTCTTCCCGTGCTTCTGTAGTGCGTGCAAATAGTTGAGATGAAAATACAAGGATTTGTTGCCTAAAAAAAGAGGGATTTGTTTAAGGTGTTATTAGATCTATCCTCAGGGTTCCACATACTCTCATTTTTTATCTCTGTATTATTTTGTTCATAATGTGTGTGTCCTTCCTTCTCCCATCTTATGTACTCCACTAGCTTCTATTTATAATATTTGATTATATTTTGGGTTCATTTTCTGCTCCTTGTTCCAAAATAAGGTTTCCAATTGGTCTTCTGGTGGAAGTTGGACAAGGGTCTTGTATGTCTAGTACAAGACTCGTGAAAAGGGGTTCTTTCAATCAGATATAGGGAATGGTACTTAGTTACAACATGTTGTAGCCACAAATTGAAGAAGAAAGTAATTTAACTTAGTTCACTGAATTCATTTATCCTGCTCTTACAGTTCTTACTTGCTCCATTTTCAAAAAGATGATCTAAACACTATAGCCAGGTTCAATGTCGTAGAGATTTGCTATGGACGTTCACAAAATTAGATGCGGCAACAAATTGGGTGAAACTGAGAAGTTAAATATTTGATTAAATTATTTTAAATAATGGTTTATCTCGAATTTGGTTTGAAGTTGGATTCAGATTTTATTTAATATTTGATCTCAGTTTATTTAAAGTGACAAAGTTTTGTGATATCTACAAAGTTTCATTACTATTCACCAAATTGCAAAATTTGCTAATTAGAAGACATTATTTATCATAACAACATGGTTAATTTGGAATGGACATAATACTTGTACAATAAAGAGTATCCTCAAGTTGACTTTCAAGTTTCAAGCTTCACCTCCATATTCAATCTCGTATATTGATATTATATTGAAAAATGAATTTGAATTTAATATTTTAAAAGTTTAAATTTATAAAAAAATATTTAATTTATTTTATATACATTGGTAGTATTTAGTATTAGTAATATCTCATTTTTTATTGTGGAGTTGTGAGTTGTTTGAGAAATTAAATCTTTCTTGAGATAGTGGTATTAGAAAACTCATTATAAAAGTTGTTTCAAGATGCATTGGATGAGTAAAAAGATTTCCTAGTAGCCATT